CTGAAATTACCGTGTTAAGGGGTAGACATTGAGATCTGGGAGAAAGCTTCTTTTTAGCCCCTCTTTTTTTATTTTGCACATATTGATCGGGATTTTTAGAAAAATTCATCGCAACACTATGAGAAGGATTAAGTCTACGTGCAATTTCACGTATTTCACATTTCTTTCGTGAAAGGCTCAAATTCTGCATTTTTCTTGCTTATTTCAATAACTTTCACGTGGAATTATTAACCAAATTAATACTATCACACTTTGAACACGCTAGACTAAACAAAACTGACAAAATATCAACAGAAAACAACGCTTGGTTCCAACGCTTGGTTCTATAATTACGAAACAGTACTGAATTAGTTTTCTGCAGTTCATTTTTTTTTCTTTAGAATAAATATAATCCTAATATTTCGAAGGAAACATAGATTTCTAACGCAATTTTAAATATGGCATATTCCGTTTCTTCAAATTTCAGCAAGAATATGATAAAATTGACAATTTGAGGGTAGTTTTATAGTTATAACACGCAGTGTAGTTGTAGCGTTAGCCCATCTGATACTTTACCTTCAAATATTTCTACCACACACGAAGGAAAAATAAATCTCTTGTTTTTATATTTCTCAAACGTCGCTATCTTTGTATAATTAATATTAGATACTGCTCGCATTTAATAATAAGAAAATAAATTAACGGTATGAGACTTTGTTATTTAATACATACTACATTATTATTTATTTATTCTCTATTTATTTATTTAAGATTCTAAGGTTTACAATCGTTATTTTACAATTAACGATTTAAATGTCAATATAAATAGAAACGTTAATAAATATTTGCTAACACTCGCCGTTTTATTAACCTTTTAACTGCGGATGACGAGTTAACTCGTGACGGAACTCGTCATGGCACGTGTTTGGCCATGTTTTAAATTGTATACAGTCGAATAAAACTAATTTTTACCTTAAACGTTTTTTTTTTTGTAGAAGAACGTATACTTTAAGATTCGTATTCAATAATGGTACAATGTCGAGTTAACTCGTTATAATACGTTTGTCGCGACGCGCTCAGAATGCGATTCTGTCAAGTTAGTTACTCGATTGAAACGTTAAACGGAATGATAATTAGTATAATGATTCCGTTTACGGATAGTATAACGAAAATTGAAAAATATTGCAATTAACGATGTTCAAATAAACTTCGAACTGATAATACCGAAATTTTATCTGCGTGACCACTAAAAGATACGATTTTTTCAAAATAAATTTGGACCTTACTATCGTTCTAATTCACACGTCACTCGGATATATCATTTACATTATCTATTTCTTGTAACGTTATGTTACTTAATATACATTTTAAATTATTCGATTATATTTAATAAAAATATTACTATTATATCAATACATACATAGTTAGTATATGTTACGTACTATTATACTAGTATTATAGTATAATACTACTATAGTGTACTATTATATATAATGCATACACGTAATATTTCTGTTATCTCTGATAATAGAAAAAGATGTGTAAGGGAAGAGTTGCACAGTTCCATTTGAGTGAATATAACAGCAGGACATTTCTTTTTCTTCAATGTCACTCAAGTCGAAATTTCAAATTTCAAACATCGTTGTTAATGATGTTTCAAACGGAATAATATAATTTGGTTAATATGATACTGGAGCTAGCAATAAAACGAATTCATCGGTGTATCCACCGTCGATAAAAAATAAGAGATATTACTCTTCGTGTGCTCAAAATGAAAAAGACACCCTGTAGATTATAAAAAATACAAACAATGCAAGTTGTAATATTATATATAAAAAGTCATTTATTACGCTTTTTATATCGTCAATTGACATTATCGAGTATCTTAAAAAGCAAAAAATTCCTTGTAAAATATTCGAACCTTGTTAACACTGAAATTATCGAAATATATATCATAATGTGTATTCTAGTTCATGCAAATAATAGTCACTAAAGAGTAAGATAAGATGAAGATAAAGAGGTGTATTAGTAAATATCAATTCTACCAAAATAGCTAGATATTTTCAGTAACTGTGGAAACAAAAAATCTGAAATCGATTAATTTGACGGCTTTAGTAATTCTAGTTCAGTAAACTATTACTATTAACTAATACCGAAACATATTTCTATATGTTTTAAAGTATAAGTTAAAATATGTTACGAATTCCAGAGTACGTTACGAAGTTTGAAAAGAGAAAAAAAAATCAGAAATCAGTGGAACAAAGTATTGTTGAATTAGAAAGGAAGGCGGGTAAACACTAAAGCGTGGATAAAATAAAACTCGCCGTATCGTAACAAAGGTTAGAGGTTTTATTCTAGGAACACTCGAGGGAGTACGTCCGACAGCGCGTACGTCTCTTCTGGGCAATTAACTCAGGATTTTTAGGTTTTCTTCCACAGTGGGAAAAACTCTCCCACTACAAGACGCTTTCAGAAATATAACATGAGACGAAATGACAGAAGAATATTATCGATACAGTCGATACGGATACAGTTGTGCGCATTACGTTCGTTACCTACTCAGATTTTCGGAAATCTTGAAATAAATATATCGTATAATTACTTTAGAATGGCGAAACTGGTCTTGAGACACCGAAAATTGACGAAAGAACAAGAACACGATAACACAAACTCAAAACTCGTAAACTGATTTAACTTAGGGAAAGCATACCAAGATAACGAAAACACACAAAGACGCACTCTTTTAAAACTCTCTTTCCAATACCAAGCGACTCACGCTTGTGCTGGTCACAACCGATTTCCAAGGACTCTGTTTTGGTTATCAAGGACCACGTTTTTATGCTTTGCGTAATCTACGCTTCGCCTACCCGTAGGGGAGTCACGCAACTTAATTTTGTTATACAGAATAACTTTTCGATTTGCTTCTAGAAGATATCGATCGGTTTACAATTTATTTTTGTTGGCAATAGCCGATTCGCCATTTCTTTTGGTATCCTACATTACCAAATCTGTTCCTTTTCGCGATTAATCGAGTACAACGCTATTTATACGTGCAGTTCACAAAACATCACCGAGCTTCACCGAGAAGCAAATGAAACCAAAGAGAAATAATCTCAGTAATGCTTATTACTCTAACACTAGAACTACCAACGCATAACGATATAATTCAAATATTACGATGAAAGTAAACAGTTATACGTAACTACGTTTTTATAGAAACAAATACCAGTATTAATCTTGTCAAAAGAAACTACATTTGATATTACTCCGGTATTAAAACTAAAATTACCGACCCAATTAAAGTGGCTAATTTTCGATATTTTATTTTTACAATTGCAGTTACTTCTAAGAAAATTAATGTTAACTTTTATTCGAATAAAAACGTAATTGCGTATACCTATTTACTTTTATCGTATGGGTTTAATTATCCTCATATGCGTATGACATATATAGTTACATATTACAGGTCAAGAGTTCGAATGTTAAAGACCTCTCGAGTTTAAGAAAGGTAATTGGAAGTATTCCAAAGTACCATCAAGTGCACACGTATTAATTGTAGAAATGGGCAACTCGAACGTTCGAAGTAATTTTCGTACTTGCAAGTTTTAACTGTTTAAAATGTATTTCAAACTGTAAATTTCGTTGGTAATATTTTCGATATGTCGATTTTCAGCTGAAAATTATTGTACGATCATTTTCTATTCGTTATAGATAGCTATGGAAATATTATACAAAATCGCGACACAGGTCACGTTGATATACATATTAAATAATTGAATTTCTCTTTAAACAGCACAACTGTTATCGAAATGAATATAATTGGAACTATATATTCATACCTTATATACCTTCGCGAAACATCGGCATCGATTTTCGATTTCGACGTGCCTCAAAAAATTTGCATTTGGTATAATATCGATTTAATTTTAATTCGGACAATTTATATAATTTATACGTATATCCATTTCTATCGAGTCGGTTACATGACTGATACGGATCATTTACGGAAATAAAAGTTATGTTTTCTTAATATCTCATACAAATAATATTCAAATTATCATAATTGGTAATAAATAAACGAAATAGGTAGTAAAGAATTAGGTAATAAAGAAAGAAATCAATTTCTTCCGTTTTACGTTTGAACAGCAAGAGAAAAGAAAAAATAATTTTCTACACCCGGAAAGTTACAATAGATATTTCGTTCTTATCCGTTGCATTTTTTACAGGTTTCACCATTATCAGTATTTCACAAATATATTTCATTACTGTCAAGACAGATTTCAGTGCCTTCATTGTCCTCAGGATATCTTATCTGTCGCGTTGTAAGAAAGCATAAATTTAAATTAGTCAAATGATTAGTCGCGGTAGATGAAACAAGCTATGTTATATAAATTTCAGAAGAAACGGAATAAGAAGAACGATAAATATCGAATAAACGATTATACGTATGTACAGAATAAGAGAAGTCAAGTGAACGAAAGCGATAGCGTCGAGTGCAGAATTTTTAATCGAATGTTAAAAACGGGTATTTAATACCAGCTATAGTAACTTTAGCGTTAATTTTATACGGCTATAAATTTGCAAGTCGAAAAATATTATTTCTCGTTTACCGTGAAAGTTCTTCTCGAGTCGCTCTGAAATTACCATTAAACATATACCGTTCATACCGTTATAACCCCGGCAATTTGAAAAGTTTTAAAATTGTTATTTTTAAGTTACGTTTTCATAATATCAAACGGTAAAGAGATATAAAAGTTCAGGGAGATGAAAGTGTTCGATATTTCGTGTCAAAATATCATACTACCTAATCCGTTGCACTATGATGTATTGGTAAACTATTTAATTTCAGTCAACGTCTATACCTCTGTTCCATTCGCGATAAAATTATGCAAAAATATTAGCGTTCCTTGAAATTTCGTGCACGTTAAACTATGACAAGTAGTGTAGCGTATAATTCTAATATTTTAATAATGTGTTATTACGAGCAATTTGTTCATCTGTGAATCTGTAATGTTTTGCAGACTTTCGGCGATAAACTATTAGGCGTGATGTCCTGGATAATGCCGTTATTCGTGGCCTGTTCTACCTTCGGAGCGTTGAACGGAGCAATTTTCGCATCGTCGCGATTGTTTTTCGTAGGAGCTCGTAATGGACATCTGCCATCCGCCATTGCGCTCATCAATCTACGAAACTTAACGCCCATGCCTTCTCTTATCTTCCTCGTAAGTATATTTTATTCTCATACCTTTATTTCCTCCTGCACGTGTTCTCGAGCTTCCTTTCTTGTTTCCGTGACAGAAATGTGTAAAGGATCCGTGAAGTAACAAGCGTACGTGACAGTTGCTCGAATCACGTATCTGTAAGTAACGTGTCTGTTTTTTCCAATAACGACTATCGTTTAATCGTTCAAACGAAAAGAATGTTCGAAAAGCAGTCTCCGATATCTTTTGAATTTCTTTTCGTCTTTTTTATTTTTTTCTTTCCTTCTAAAACGTGTTTTTAATTTGCGAGGATATTCAAATACATTGGAAATTTAGGTTGTCAAATTAAATCATCGAGTTTCGTAGAGTCGCATAATTATTTTTATGCAAAAAAGATTGGACCATCGAATGAAAAAAAAAGTGATACGCGACACTGAAGAAAAATCATAAATTCGTGTAAATTCGTGTAAATTATTGACGAAAAATGTCTTTTAACGCGTTAAATTGCATAACACGTGTTACAAACTCGAGAAAAAATCTTGTACTTAACTTTTATAAAATATTGCCACTTTATTTATTTTAACTTAAATTAATCGAATCACGCTTCTTTCGCGTCTTTATTTCTTTCCCGTGATTTAAACGATCGTATACAACGAATAAAATATTTTTGCATTTTTATACTTAATATCTATACTCTATCGTGTTTATACATTTAGATGAAACGCAAAATGTAAACATTAAATCTGCTCCGAATTTTTTTGTGACCGACTGTACGTACAATTTTCTCTATGTACCATTTTCTGCATTTTCACTCCGCCTACATGAAAAATAAGATAAAATTGATTTTACGCTTAACGCGTTAATAATATTTAGAAATTGAAGAATAGAAACACATTTTATTAACTTACTAAGAAAATTGATACAGTATAAAAATACAGAAATATGTGTAATACGTTCGATAAATATTTTCGAATTAAAATTTATTTTTCGTACGTTTTATGTGTGGTGTGTGATGTACAAGCGTATATCGAATCTATTTTGCACGTTACATACGATATAGAAGACAAACAAGGGATTAATCTTGCCAGATCATCGTGCCTGACACTTGCTTATATATATTTATGAACATTTGAGATGTATTTTTACATTTATTATAATCTGTAAAGAAACTTTTCTTAACTCTTCGATAATACTCGACACACAGATGCACCAATATTTACCTGTATTTTCTTTTATGTTAAATTTTCGTCTATACTTCCAGTCTCTTTTTAGCAATCTATCTTCGTAACTTTTAATTAACATACAGTCTGTGATTTTCCAATAATATCGATAATCTGTCTTAGTGATTTTTATTACTGAAATAAATTAGTAATAATTTACTCTTTTCCAGTGATTGTTTCCCTTAGCTTCGAAGATCATAACTCATAATCGTAAACTTATTTTACACTTAACTGGATCATTTCAATTATACTTTAGATTATTTAATTTTGACATTTATTTTAACATTTTTAGCTTCGTATATATTACTTTCGTTTGCTGATATTTACAGTAATATAACATCGAAAGGAGAATTATTTTATTCAGTTTGCAACTGTTTTATTTTAAACGTTGAAAACTATTATACTCTAATCTTTTGCATACTCACTGTGAGTTACCACACATTATTTACTCACAGTTTATTGCTTAATTTTATTTTCGCTTATGAAGATGAAAAAAAGAAAAAGTGCCGTTATCTAAATAAATCCGTAAATATCTATAATTCTTTTCTCTGGAATAAAAATTTCGAATTCCATGAACCTTTCTGTTACAAAAGCGAGCACGAACTTGCTGATCGATCGGTTTGAAAAATTCTCGTCTATGTTCCATAAAATGCCATTAAAATAAAAGTCAAAATTAACTCGAATAAATTTTATTCTCTTATACGAGTACTTTTGTAAACCAATATAGCTATACGATATATAAACATTTATCGTTCTTCGGAAAACGTTTCTCATAAATTAGAACCTAAGAAAGAAAATCGATTAGATCATTTGATTCATTGGTTGGTATTTGAAGCATTATCACGATCAATGAATGTTTTAATTAAGTATTATCACGATTACGTAATATAATTCTGTTGAAAAAGATAGTAATCCTGTTCAAAAGAATTAGGTCTAATAAAGAGATTTTGACATTTAGACATTGCACGTACCGTTGGTACTGGAAAAGGATCAACGTGCTACATTTTCAGCTTAATTTTTTATAAGATAATTTTGCAAAGTACTTCCAATCTCGTTCGTGATTGTTATTTGTCTAATCGATACCTTTTTATATCTCTTCGTGAACCCATCGCTGTATCCATTTGTAAACTATTTAAAGAAACAGATGTTAACCGGACGGCTGAATCCATGATCAACTTTGAAACGAGTCTTTAGGTAATCCTCTTAGAACTTAAATCATCTCACTCGGGTTAATAACTACAACTTTAGCAAAGTAGTAACTCCAAGTTTATTCGAGAATTTGGCTACAGTTCAGTTTTTATACGATTCCGCTGAATATTCTAAAATTCTGGTTTGCTCGATTCGACGGCCAATCCAATTTTCATGTTCTAGGTAATATTCTTACAAATAAAGGACTTATAGTTTTCGAAATACTCCTTCCAAGACAAAGGAATACTCTGCTCCTTTGATAGAACATTGGATAATAAATAATATTGGATAAATAATATTTAATTTAACATTGGGTAAATAATAAATAATACTCGAGGCTGACCTCTTATTTGCGAAATATTTGCAGGCGTGGAGAAGAGCTTGTCTTGAAAAAACGAACCATGAATGTTTATGACGTCCGAAAATTCTTACGCTGCAGGTCGGGGTTCGATTCCCGTTCATAGTTTGGTACTTTCTTTTCAATCTATTTTTTATTTTGTATTCATTTTTCGCCTACGAATAAAATTTCTTAATAAAAGAAATTTATTTTTACTGTTTACCGTGGCTTTGGATGGAAACTGACTGATTGGAAAATACATTCCGATGCCTGCGAGTTTCCTTATCGGTTCTAGCATAAACAATTTGACGCCAGAAACTCTCGAAACTCTTGACAGAGAACGCAAGACCGAAACAAATATTGAGGACGATTTTTCAAATGACCATAAATGTAAATTATTTAAATGAAATATAATTCTTTCAGTTATTATTCACGAATGACTGATAAATTGTTAATTGTCAATTCGAATAGCAAAATTTATTAGTTACTATTCGTGAACAACAAAATAAATTGAATTTATTTAATATTTTATATACTTGCATAAGAAAGTGTAGAAAATAAATTTTTCTATTAAGAAATTTTATTCATAGGCGAAAAATGAATACAAAATCAAAAATAGATTGAAAAAAAAGTACCAAACTATGAACGGGAATCAAACCCCGACCTACAGCGTAGGAATTTTCGGATGTTGCCGAAAAGTAGAAATACATCTGTTAGTCAAGGAAGTAATAAAACTTTAATCGTAAATATCTCAAAAATTACTGAGTAATTGCCCCTATAATGGTATATTTTCTTGAATTGCATGACGATATCTACAAACCTGCAAAGTTTGAACCAAATCGGTGACCCGAAGGACTTGCACTCTCCTTGTTAGATTCACTTGACCTTGACGGGTTAGGGGGCAGGTCTATGTCGTGTCAAAGATTTATATAGGTCTGGTACTGTGGACGAGATACAAACACTAGGATTCGGCTTTCATTTGCATGATTCACAGAAGCGTTAATCATTTTGGAGCGAAATACTGTCCTGTCGAATACAGAGAAAATTTGGGCTTGCACTCAAAGTACGTATCTCGAACACAATAGCAAATAAGTACAATAATGAATAAGAAGATTGTAATTTACAGTTAAAGATTGTTAGCTCAGTTTAATTAGCTAATCGGTATTGAATTGTTTCTCCGAACAAAAAATACGTCACTTATTATATGGAAAAATGTAATTGAGAATTGTTTCGAGGCAGTAATGACGAATTTATTTTTTATGAATATGAAAATAACGTAAGGGGTGATTATTTTGAGAAATCCAGCTGTAATTCTAGCGATAACGACATTGTTTCAGCGGTAAAGAAAAAGTAAAAAACAAAGACAAAAACAATAGAATGATTTCGGTGACAGTGAAAAGATTGAGTAGGATCAGAATGCATAGATTATTATGGATCATTATACACCATTGCATCGGTATTAGAAACAATAAAATATTCAAACAAAGGGTCATGTGAATTTTATTTATTTTCGAATAAATCGTCTATTACTTTTGTACAGCAAAGTCAAAAAATTGGAAGTTGGATTAAAGAGAAAAATTTAGCCGTGAAAAGGCCCGAAATACAAAAGGTTAATTTTTTACGTTCGCATATTAATTTTCTGATACTTATCCTAGTCGAGTATTGTATTAATTAACGTTTCCACAAAAATAACTCTGCCAACCTGTGCCTCCAACGAAATATTCTTCACATTACTCTAGTCATATATTTAAGACTGATTATTATTTTATGTAAAATGCGAGTTTTTTATCCTAAATGTTCCCTTAATTCTGCATGTTCGTATTCAAACAGTTAAATTATTTTTTATCAAATTTGTCACTAAAATATGTAATATTTTTACATTTTTATATTACAATTTTTATATTTTTAAATATAAAATATTCATCATTGAAACCAACAATAATTTTAATGACAATTCGTTTAATAAGAGACATTGTTTCTTAAATTTTATTTGTAGAAATTTCATCATTTGTAACAATAGCATAAAAAATGAAAATAATCGTGTTCTTCCGTTCATTCTATCTTGTACATATTTAATGGATAGTAATAAGGGAAGAAAAGAATTATTTTTAAAGCTTCATTTATAAAAATTTCATAGATTATAATGTTATAAAATTCTTAACTTTAGGGCAATAATAATCAGGAAATAAAAAATTTTGAACAGCCAGAAAGTGGTATAAAAGTAAAAAATGAAACTGTATGTGTATATAATGTGAGATTAATTTTTCTCGTGACGTTCGAAGCCTTATGCGATATCAACTGCGATTTGTCTGTTGGAATAATCGTAGAAGGAAAATTAAGACGGTATTTGCATAATGAATAACACTTGCTATAGCATTGTCGACTTATATCTGATTGCAAAAATACATTATACTCGTTTAATTATTTATATCATCGTAAAAGTAAAATGATGGAATAAAGCTACGCATAAGTCTAAAAAATGAAAAGATGTACAAAAACAAGTATCTTTTTATACTTTGTTCCACATTATAAATACGAATAAATAGGTCACTTTCGAAGTATTTGTTTTCTTTGCCATTTTCTGTTAATAGAAGCTAATCAGATCCGTTTTACTAGTTTGAATAAACTAAGTTTATTAAAGTTTATTATGTTACGTAAAATAATACAGAATAGTTATTTCTGTGTCGCTATTCGAAACAAGAGAAGATAATTGTATGGACTGTACGGATAATGAATGACAAATAAAAAGGGGACGCGATGCATATGAAAAACAGTCATAATTAAGGTTCTCTGTCTAACAAACCATGTAACCATCATCTTGATTTACGGCTTCTAATTGTGAGGAATAAATTGAACCTTTCATTCCATTAACGATCTCTTTGATAATTGGTAATAGCAGTCTTTTGAATCAAGGCTAATTCAGTTACTTAAATCTAAAAAAGAAAAATCCCTTTACTTTTTGTAAGCCAACAAATTTTTACTTTAGAACAACTCTTTTTTTTATTTGTCATTTATTCGATATGAAAATATCGTTTACAATATTTTTTATCGTCGTTTTTAAACGATTCATCGAGACATATTCGTTTTTACGTTTTACTTCTTCTTTTAAATAGAAAAAGTAAAAGATAAAATTGTACAAGCACTCGAAGTTACTAATTGTAATTAGGAAATAATAAAATATGAAAGTTTAATTTTTTCTCACTGTTGTGCTCGAACTGTTAACTCAAGCGTTAAACTATAATTTCCGTTTCTAGTGCATTATCACCCTGGCACTTCTGATCATAGAGGATGTCTATGTGCTAATCAATTATGTTAGCTTCGTTGAGGCACTATTCACCACGCTCTCGGTATCTGGTCTCCTCTGGCTTCGCTACAAAAGTCCCGATCGCGAACGACCAATAAAGGTATGTGGAAAATTGCAAATTTTCTCCCTTTCAACGTTCTCTACGTTATTCGTCTGCTTATAATTCCATTATAGCGAAATGTATCGATTACGATAATTAGAGAAATCTAATAGTATAACAGATTCAATACGATATACGCGTCGACTGACGAGCAGGAATATTTCTGTGTTAACGTGTCATGATTGTCAGTTGAAACGTTGTTATGCGAAATACGCACGCGTTCTTTTTCTTGAAATTTAAATAAAATTTCTCGAAATTTTCATTGCTGTAATTTTTGAAAAATTCCAGAATATGTCCTGCGTTATAGACGGTATTTTGTCGATTTAATTTGAAAAGATAAATAGATAATACTTGATAATCGTGCATTTATTAGCGTTAAACACGCGATATTCTTTTCTTTATTGTGATTACTCGAAATATTTTAATAACTTAATTACGCTTCATTTTATCAAAACGTAAATGGTGAAAAAATTTGTAAATATTTTTGGAATTTCATTTGCTTGGAATGTCTGTGATAGTAACGCATAAAACGACAATGATATAGAAAGACGAAGTAGAAATTACTTGGACCAATTTTATACCCACTCGAATAAATGTTTCAAATGATTTCTATTAGCTTATGGACACTTACCGATCTGTTAATAAAATGAATATAGCACGCTTTGACGAGCTTTTCTCATATATTATAACTATATAATGACACATGGTCATAAAATAATATTACTCTGTTATTCATTAAAAAATTATAGATTTTTATTCTTTAAATATAAAAAAAATTATCATTATAATTGTTATACCATTTAGAATATTTTCCAACTAGTAGTACTTTTTCCTCAATTTTACAGTACATTGGATTATATATGGAAATTAAAGAAAAAAGGGATTAACGTTAATAACGCGCGATAGAATTAATAACAATCGAAAACTTTCATTTTCATTTATGATTTTATTTCAGGTCTCGATCCTGTTACCAATCATATTTTTCGTAATCTGTGCTTTCCTGGTGACATTTCCTTGCTATGTGTCGCCATGGGAAGTTGGCGTAGGAGTAATCATCATATTATCTGGCATTCCTATGTATTGGATCTTTATTCAATGGAAAAAGAAGCCTAAATGGGTTATAAGATCGTCTCGTAAGTAATGTTTGTCACAATTTTTATCCTTCTTAGTACTTTTTCAATGACTACTTTCATCTGCTTTATCAAAGAAAAAAGAAAATTTTTTTTAAATCTTATTTTTCTTCTGATACAGAATAAAAAAAGTAAAATAGTCGAATGTTAGGGTAATCGAAGAAAAGTAAATTATAAATCGTGGAATAACTTTGCATAAACTTTCGCGTATTTTATACGAGCAATAAGGAAAACATTTTGTGAATAATATTTTTAACATAAAAGATGTAAAATCGATAAAAATCGACTTCTTCGATAAATATCTAATATATTCGATATTAGATACAAGATATCTGATTTATGAACGTACAAAATTTAACAATATATACAATATCTGTGTAATTAAAAGATTTTTACTTTTTACAGATAACTTCAACATGATTTGCGCTAAACTATTTATGTGCGTGCAAGAGGAGAAAAGCGATTGATCACCAAGTGCCCTTCTACTATAATATATAGTTTCATATAGAAATTTGCATGGTATGAACGTGTGCGGCATTGACCTATCGATTTGTTCGTTTATAAATTCTAGAATAGACTACCATGATACTTTTATTTTAAACAAAATATGTACAAAGAACAAATCGTTTTGATTTCAAATGAAAATAAGCAAAACATTCCAATAAAATCTGCGTTGTTTTTCGTAGAATTTATAAATGAACAAATCGTTCAACTATATTTGAATTGTATTTTTATACGCGTATAGATAGCATAACCGTGATTTTCATTATCTACGTCAATTGATAGATCCATTTATTATTATATGCAATAACGTTTTTTACTAATCTTTATTCGCAACAATTGCATAGCGTAATTGCAAGATATTTAGTCATATTTAACTATAAGAGAATTATCTCTTCCTTCGCTTTCAATTTTTCATTCCTGCGAACTGTTTCGGAATCGTAGGTATAACATAACAAATATACTTCGCCACAAACTTAAAGAATCGTTAAATATTGCGCGAAAGATAGTCCACCTTCAAAAATTTTGCGATTTTACGAGAAAAATGTACCCGGGTACATTTGAAAGGATAAAATTTCTCTACTTTCGTATCCCTAAGTTGAATTTTTTCGAAAATCCTTTTATATCAAAAATTTAAATTTAATTAAATTTGTTTTACACTAATTTCGTAGAGGAAAGTCTCGTTTTTACAACGACTTCTCAATTGCTTACACGTGAATTTTTATCACTCTTTGATCATATTTTAACTGAAAAGTGTGCCATGGACATTAGAATAATTGTACGTACACCTCAAGAAAGTTGCACCTTCTCTGTCTTATATATCACGCTTTTAATTTCTCGACAGTTTATGTATCAAGTTAATATGTTTAGAAACGAATATTATCTCTTCCTTGCCTTACCTATGAGTTGCCATCATTCTTCCATCTTCGTGTATCACTGCATTAACTTTAATTTTCAAATTCATCGAAGTGTATCTTCTAATGTCACAGAAGATGTTGCCAAGCTTCTCACTCGTCGACTTACGGTATTTCATAAATATTCAGTCGCAATGAGATCATTGATAAGTAGTCGAAAGTCACGATGTTATGTGACTAAAAAAAAGCAACGGTTATGGTGTAGTGTTCGAGGTCAAGCATTGTTTTATAAAAACAAGAATTCTTATTCGATATTGTTACATATGATGTAACATGTAAATGTAGAGTACATGTAAATCTAAAATATTCACATAGGAAATTATACTTGATATTGGTAAAGGTACTATCACCGAAACTGTATGACGAAGAAACGGAATGCTGATCCACGCCACCACGAAGCTATCGTTGCAAACACTTACTTGAGCTACATTTTGATCATTATATCAAGAACCGGGGCAACGCTAAACCCAGTGACGACGATCATTATTCTAGTGAATAATACACCACTCCACTCTCTACTCTAGTGAATAATACACCACTCCACTCTCTTAGCTGGCATTCTCGTATAATTTCTTGAATTTCGTTTCAATTTTCAAAATCTTCGACAAACTCTTTTTGTATTTACGATAGCTTCTCTAAATTCATCGCAAATTTTACGAAAAGGCTACAAGAAATTGAACTATTACTTCTCCAAATAACAACGATTAATAATAACAATTTGGTTCGACAGAAACTTAATAATAGCTTGAGTTTCTGTCACTATTCTATAGCGTCACAAAATTTTTATATACTTTATGCTTCAATGCATCCTAACAAATACTAAACAACAGTGTTTATCTGAGCAAAAGTTTCAACGATTTTATTTGTAAGAAAAAAGGCTAAGGTAATACCTGCATTAAATATATGAGCATATAAACGAAGTATAAATCCAACTGTGCAACTTTCTCATGGTGTATCTAAAGATATTCTAATACCGGTAGCACATTTATATTTTTTTATTTTTTTAATCTGATGAAGTGGCTTACATATAACAAAATCAAGGCTTTTCTGTACAAATTTGTTGTAAAATAAATCGCAATGAAATTTTTTTAATACGTCGTAAATAATGGTGCCGATTATATTCTTAATTGCCCCGTTTTGTAGCATCTCATATTTTTTCAAGGTCTTAAAAAAAATTTGATTCTGAAATATGAAAATAGAGACTTCACAAACGATATTTTCACTCGCTTAATTAAAAAATTCATTTTATTTAATATCTCGTTTCCTGTCATATCTTTTCTTCCGTTTTAAATAAACCTACAATTTTGAAACATTTTGTATATTCAATCATGAAATTGTTTATTGCATCTTGTAGATAATGCATATGTCTAAAATCATAAGACTGTAAGAAGTATTCGTTTATTTAAACTTTATTTAAACTTTGCCGATTTGTACAATCTCAATATTTGCTGCCCCTTTCTTAACCACGTACAGATCCATCAGATCTTCGATATAAGACACGAGTGCCAAGGAATCATTCCAAATATTCGTACCTATATCTTTAGACCATCAAAATCAACTGATTCTATACCCCATAAAAGGTGTATTTTTTATCAAGTTTTGCTTAATGTACGTGCATATAAAGCTAGATTTGCATACGCTCTGAGATTAACACGAGGTCTATGGATGAAGGCAAAACTGTTTCTGTATTAAAAAACTATTTCTCTATTAACCGTTACACGATAATTTAAAATGACTTGCAAAGATACAACATCGAATGAAATATTCAACATTAAAATAGTGCATTTTGATTGTCACATCAGTGATCGTAGACGTTATATTTGAAAGTTCACCTTCTTCAACTATCGATTATCAACTAATTAAAACCAAATAACTATCAATTGTCTAGATCCAGAAACCAGAATATTCCTTTACATAAGTATGATTAAAACAGTTCAAACCACCCCATGCCCAATGAGCTAGCATGCGTACAAAACCGTCACTGTAAAATATCTACTCCTTATATTGATAAAATATGAAAATCACACATCCTAATAATGATTCAGTTCCCATCGATTACAATTTTTTCTTAGCCTACTTATAATCATTCCACTATTACTAGGTAGACTCTTATGTGATAAATACATTCTATTAATTTGAATACCACAAACCAAGAAGACTATAATAGGAGAATTGGTAGAACTTTTTCTTCAAATGACAGCACTATATTTTCAAATCTGACTATGAAGACCAGGACCTTGTGTTATTTAAGCTTATGTCAATCTACATACAAATCCAGATTTGTTATTATCCAGATTTCTAGGGCAGCAATTAACAAGTTTAAGTAATATTCACCAGTGCACAAAGGACTGTGTAAATTATGATCATAGTTCATTTTAGATATCTTTCAAGCACAATTTTTCTGATAGGTTTCATTTTTCAATTAAAAATTGTGAATATTGCATCTAATTACAATAATTAAAATATTATGTATCAAGTACACGCATAATAATTGTAATATAAATAATGTAACTGCATATATTTAAACTATTTAATTGTATTATACATACAAAATGAAGAATTATAAATTATTTATCACGTGACAAACATCGATTAACTATTTTATTCAATAGGTAAACGTTGTTATTTAGCGTTGTCGGTAAACCAGTGATAATAATTTTTATATATCGCTTTTGTCTGTCACGCTTTGTTAATTATATTTATTGATAAATTATTTGTAGAATACTAAAAAAGAGTGGCAATTTTGCTATAACTAATTATGTTGAAAAATATACTTCGTACAAATCTTATTCTCGCAGAAAATTTGTTTGAATCTTCTGTAATATAATAAACAATGTTTATTGTTTATTATGAAATTAATTTTATATTTCTACTACTATACGACATACGATACATCTGGTCAAATTATCCATTTAAAAAGTAGGAAAATTGAACAGTATCTTGCATATTATGTTTGAAAATACCGGATATTTTATATGGTGTAAAGAAAAGTTTACATGCAGGTAATATTTATATCGTGTATTACTGGATCGAATATTTGTAGATTAATAGATTTTACCTTGTACTGTTATTATTCTGTTATTATTAGCTTTTCTTTGGCTACGTCTCGATTTGAATTATAGTACATAAATTAATCCTTTCGATACGATGACTTCGCTTTAAACTATTGCTCTAAACTTCGCGCTATAACTGTACGAACACGGACGTTCTCTGCTGTACCTAAATTATGAATCAATGAGAAATTTTAACGGTCGATGAAAGTCATTGTTAATATACTGCGAACGTCAGACATTAGATGACTATAATCACCATTAGTATCGGAAGGATTAGCAGTAAAGTATAAGTTTAAAGTATAATTTTTTAAGAAGTGAGAGACAAGATAATTTGTTGCACTTCAAATTCTTGTTCTGTGAAACAATATTCTTCTCTTGAAACGCATTTTAACAATTTTATACACTACAAACAATTAATTATAGCAATAGGAAATGTGTTCAAAAACATAATAACTGATGACATGATGCCTTATGTGTAATGCACCGATGAAATTGTTACTGTAAAATTACTAAAACAATTGTTATTAATGATGATAACCTACTGTACGTGTTAATTATTTTTTAATACAGTTGGTAACGAATTGTTTTAATAATATTCATGTAACAATTACTACGTTTGTTTTACAAACAGCGCATTTTCGTTATATTTTAAAATAATTAGCGATTAAGTCGAGATAACAATTTCTTTAAAACTCGAAATAAAATCAGCCATGGCTTCTAAATTAAGGACAATATAATATCCCTTTGCACTCGAGAGGTGACCTCTAGTCGCCATTTAATAAAATTTTAAAAATTAATATTAATTGATACATTAAATTTAATCGCCGAATGCAAAAGGATATATTATATTTGAAACATAGCTACATAAATGACATGACTGTCTGTATGTTGATAGTATAAACTAAATCTGGTCAACTTAAGACCTATAGGATAATTGTTATGCAACGATATTGAGGTGTAAAATAACAAAAATTGAATAATCGTATGAAAAATTGATACGACATTAACGTAGGTTTAAATAGGAATAAAATAGATTGTCACGATAATTATTATGTGTCGTTACATCTTTATTCTTTAAATATTGCTTTATTTAATGTATGAATTAGAAAAAGTTGCAAATTTTCGCAAATAATCTGTAAAATATTTTGAATCGACCAGAAGTGATATAAATTGTTAATAATAAATTACAATTAATAAAATCTCTTTTTATATCACAAACGAATTAACGAATTCGTTTATGTTCATTGTAAAATTAATATCTCGTAATAATTGACACGATGAAAAAAATTTGAAATAACGCTCGTACATATCGAATGAAAATCATAAACAACATTTTATCCAGATAGCTCTTCATCTTTTCATATCTTCGATAATAAATACAAATTGTCAAGTAAATACGACAATATATGTATGTGTATATATTTGCATTGATTTACAATTGGTACAGGATATTTTACGTATCCATATACGTATGTATGTGATAGCATAATCTTAATTTTAAGATACCGAAAATTATACTATATTGTACTATTCTGAAAATTGGCTACATAGTAAAAACTAAATTTAACCCTACTTTTTTTTACAAATATTATTAACCGTCGCAATATAAAAATTTATGCATGTATCTGTGGCCTGAGGTTTCCAAGAAATTGGAAATCCAAATAAAGAATTACCAAATCGAAAGACTATATTTTCCCTCCTTGCTCCCCCTTCCCTCGAAAAATCTACAATTATTACAAATATAATATTAACGTATTAAATTTTATGACTTGCGCGTTTATCAACATTCTCTAAGTTTATCGTTACGTTCCGTGAAATTCATATTTAGTAATTTATATTCGATAATATAAATTACTTAATTATCGTAATAAAAGCTCCATTTCTTTACAGCGCTAACTTTTATCCTTATATCTTAAGGGAGTAAAACGAAATCGACGGATGAAAGACATGTTTTCGTAACAGATTAAGAAAAATATTTATAGGTACTTTTAGATAACAATGTCAGAATTATAAAATATTTTTCATTGCGGTATGTTTATTATTAATACCACTATCGTGACAGTTTTACAATAATCCACTCATTATGAAATTGGTAAATAAGCTATTAACACTTTTATAATTAGATCTGGATCTTTATCACTGCCGTTTCAACTGAATCGACAAATTTCAAGGTTTCATTGAATATTTTACTATCGTACAACAACTCTTCGTAGGTAACGTATTTTCTGCCGTTTATAAAAACATCGTTTAATACGATAATTATAAAATTTGACAATAACTAATAATCTTTAATAAATTTTATTATCAAATTTTATAATAATTTTCTAATTGAAAAATTGTATAATAAATGTGACGGAAGTCACATTGAAAACCGTGGTTCACGCTGCGTAAAGCTTGGTTTCTTAAATAACAAGGTGGTCTTTCGTTCGTTCGAGCAATCTGGATGATCAACCCTGTGCGAGCGGCGGTGTAACCCAACCATATTTCTCGTGAGTTTTTACTAGCCTTCTGAAGGATTCTTCGGCGGAACGTCTGTTGAATTCTTTGCTCGCCTTTGGTTTTCTCGCTATACGACCCTGAAAAATAATTTAAAGAAAACAGACATATTAATTAATTATTATTAAAAACGCATAAGTTGAATCTTGCATTTGTATAAAATTCATATAAAAAGATATTTCGTAAAAGGAGGCTACATTTTAAGTGTTCGTCTAATAAACTTTTGCGTACGCAAAATATTATTGTCAAATTCAAAACGAGGCCTATCTCCGACTAATAATTATAATATTTGACTCGAATCATAATTTAAGTAATTCGTTTGAAAAATTCAAGTAAAATTCAAGTAAATTGCAACGATTTTCCTATAATTCTCAATCAAGTGTTGAGATATTTTTTTTTTTATCAAACCTGCTATTAGATATGTATTATATAGATTATACATTTACACATATACAGATAGAAGTTTTAAGAGGAAAAAGTTAAAGAAATCTTTTACTTTGACATCTAGAATTGAAATTCCCGAAAATTTGGGTAATTTGATATAAAGAGAATGAGTGAATAAAACAGAGAAAAGAATTACATTTATATGTTTAATTAAGTTTTACTATGATAATAATTCGAATTTTGATCTCGCATATGTGAAAACTTATTTATGTAAAAATGACAAATTTAAGGAGTACGACAATTACGATACGTAATAAATATAATAACACAGTTATAACGATAACGTAAAAAAGGTATGAAACTTTTAATTCTTCCTCAAATTCTGTTGAAATAATAGATTACACGTGTAAAGCAACATTGTACTGGATAATGATAAGAAAAAGCATTTGGCCAATTTTCGTAAAACTGCAGAAAGGAAGAAAAAGAAAGAAGATGTAGAAAGTCGAAAGAATTGAAAAATGGAAATTTTACCTGGCCTTTCACCATGCTGGCCGCAAATTGCGTTATGACAGCTTCGATTGTATACGCACTGACCCATCCTCTAGGGGTAAGAAGCTCCATACAAATTGCACCGCCTTCCATTACGAATCCTTTCTCGATTCGTGGCGAAATAACACGCATGAAGGGTGGCGCAAACGGAAAATTCTCCGGGAAGACCACGTGAAGAAGTATATAAGGTATATTGAGCTCTCTCATGTCGGCAGCCAGTTTACTTTCCGGATCGATCTTGTGCAGTCTCACGTGCCACTCGAACAAATTGTCGTTCACCAGCTCCGCGGTGAAGGTCGACTCGAGACGATGCTGCGTCCTCTGAATCTCGCTCAGCTCCTTCATTAAACGACGTAGACGAACTTTCTTATCCGGCATCGCCACGCTTCCCTGAAATAACGCTACAATCATTAAATAATTCTAAAGTTCCTTTAGCTTTTCGAAATTTTTCTTAGCTTTTTTCTTTTGCTTTTTTCCTCAAACTGTTTCTCCTCGACTTTCAACTTTCTATAAGCATCTGACAATTTTTGTAAATTTTCTCCTCATTTTTGTCCAAAAGTGTCAAATTATTATATTATCAAATATACTAATCAATATATGATAATCAAATATTAAAATCAATATCGAATGTCAAGTCAAATATCAAATAATTATATTTTTTCCTTTTTCATCATCTTTTCATTATCTTTTCATCATCGATGAGTGTTAGGGATATTATTGAGAATTGATATTTATCAGCGACTTCAAGTAAATTATACGAGTATATATTTTAATAAATAAAAAGAATTACGACAATTTGGAAAACAGAATGAAATAAAAGTTTAAGGTAGGATACTAATTGTCAATAACGTTAACGGTAAAACTATTAAACTGGATAAAATGGCTAGTTTCATAGATTCGATATATAATTTGTTAATAGAAAGTTGATAAATAAAAGCAATTGAGATGCAAATCGTCGATGATTTCTCGAAAGATGATGCGACGCAATAGAATACAGATAAGAAAGATGAGTAAATCAAGCACGAATAAAAAGGGATATATTTTTTTTAAGTATCGGTTTTTCCAACGTGAAATTCCAGAAGGCGAAAAAGAAATTTTTACATTCGAAATGACAAATCGTGGAAAGAAACTCTCATTCGTATGAAAATATCGGCTGAGATTGAAACAACGTAAGTCTTTCTTTAATTAATCTTTCTTCGAGTACAAACTAGCATGACATAATTGTTCTTGATCGACTCTGTAATTTCTGTGAAATACCTAGCGAAAATGCACATGTTTTAGATATTTCCTGATACAAATATACATGCCACTTATTCACATTTACGAATTATTTGAACGTGAAATGCGTAATACGAAATTTATCAAGAAAGTTTTCTAAGATTAATTGGAAAACGATTTGGGGTGGAAAATCAATAATGGATACATGTATATCGAATAGACTCAAAAAGCTATTTTTGGGCACAGTAAAAATTGACGAATGTGATAAAAAAGTGACAAAAGAAGAATAGGAAGTTGGCCACATTTAATTAATGAAATTTAATTAATAACAAAATTATTATGTGTATCTAAATATATTCTATAAATAATAATTTATCTTATTCGTTTTAATTATCAAATAATTTATTATTTAATAAATTTTTCATTTCTTATTTATAATTGACATTTTTGTATGAAATAAATCTTTATTATTTGCATTATATAAATGTAATGATTTATAGAATATATTATATAGACGATAATAATATTTTTAATCATAAAAATAAACAGCCTGAACCCAGTCTAGAGTTAAAATGCCTCATCTCATCCCAAGAGTATAATGCCAAGTTAACGAATAATTGTAACACCTTAGGATAGTTAGTAGGACGGTTGTATAAGTGAAAGTAAGGGTCGACGGTTGACCAGGTCCTCGTGGAGAAATCCTGAACGCATCAGGCCCTTAAACATGGCATCCATATTTAGACATAGAGAAACAAAAGTAAGTATTATCTATATCTACGTGCTAATAGGAAAAAAAAGACGAAAGACTATCGAAAAAATTTCCTAAACCAGATATACAATTTGAATTTTACGAGTATTCCTTAACCATCGTCGTTTATATCATTTGAATTATTCGTGTCATTGTAGTTGTCGTTGTCGTTATTGTCAAATTATATTTACAGAGGAGAAAACACAGTGTGAATTATCATTTATTGCTAGTCCGATCAGTAAACTATTTTATTAACCAAGGAAAATATACGATGCTTTCCAATCGAAATATATTTTCCCAAAAATATATAAACATACTCGTATACGTATGTATGTAAAGTAAAAGAAACCTAAGTTACTTCATTTTGATACATTAAACAATGTTTAGATTGAATCAAATGTTATTAGGTTATGAAAAACATAGATGAAAAGTACACAATATTATCATAGTTAATTGGATTAATACAATTCGAGTTATTACTAAACGAAAATAAGTATATAGTTATATATTTGTAACTTATTATTTTGAAAAATAATTTAAAATAATGAGAAGTATCGTTTTGATTCAAGAAATTTTATTGATAAATATTTTAATATTTATTTACGCTATTTGATTATATTAAATTAAGTTATTTAATTCTTCTTCTTCTTCTTCAGTATGTGTATTATCGATCAATGAAATTTCTACTAGTTATACAATTTTTTTACTCTTTCCAATATCTAAATAACGATACAAATTTAAATTACTTTAATTTCGATAACGCGACATGCAAGTAATTATAAAACTGACCCAAGTTACGTATTTACATTTTCATCTTAATTTCAAGTCTTACTTCATCGATGATACCATGCCACGTACTTCTCGATCATTTTATCCGTAAACGGATAAATTCAAATTTTCGGGACTCTTGACCTACAAGGTTTTCGCAATATTAAGGGTAATTATTTAGAAAGTAGACGCAGCTTGGAACATAGATGATTTTTGAATGTATCGTAAAAGTCGACATTTTGAACAACTTTTTCTCATATATACATAGAACCGCCGCTCGGCCTTAGTTTTCGAGATGTTCGAAAATTCTGCCTGCACCTACACACGTCAGTGGCAGTGTATGTGTCTCTCAAAAGACGCCGCAACAATCGAAAGCGCCAACGTATAACGAGTGAACTTAAAAGTACTATAATACATATAAGTTATCGGTAAATCAGGTTAAGTTAGGAAAAATTAATATTCCATTCTTTATCGAGATCAATAAAGTTTGATCTTTCGCGAGTATATGAAATTCTCTGAGATATTAGTAGTGAGGATGCATCCAATAGCGGGATCAAGATACAAAGCTAAAGGTTTCGACTCGAAACTTTTGAGGAGCACACTGTGTGTAATCGCCGCTGGGTGATAGTGCTTTGTTTAGAAAAAAGTGACGGCCATATGTTGACGCACACACTGCCATGAACGCGTGTAGGTAGAGACAAAATAGAATGTGTTGGTATGAAAGTAAGGCCTAACGGCGTTTATATGTATAGAGGAAAGTTGTTGAAAATATAGATTTTTACGACCTATTCAAAAATCATCGAAATCCTAAAACGTGTCCGCTTTCTAGATAATTATTATAATATGTATATATACATATATAAGATGCCGGCGAGATACCTGCGTGGAATTGCCGCTTGACATTTTCGACTTGAAGAAACAACTGCCATTATTGGAATTGCTAGCACTCGGATTATCGGACAACGCACCATCAGTCGGCGTAACAGCATCTGGCCGATGATGTCGACTCAAAAGCCTCCTCGAAGGCGAACTTGTCGAACTGCTTGCTCCATCCTGCTCCGAAATCTTCTCCGAAGATCGAAAGAACTTTCGAAAAGCAGCCACCACCTTTTCTTTCGCCCTTGTGGACATAGTTCTTCCAGTATTTTCAGTACACTAATTGATCATAAGTTTCTATTAATTAAGTTTCTATCCTTTTAATCGCAATTTACATAATTATAATTTGTGAAAATAAATCGTATAAGCAACATGCTTAAAGTGTATCGTAAGTAACGAACAAGTAACATGATTGGTTCATAATAATAATAATAATAATAATAATATAAAAAAAAATTGAGAAAAACGAGTAACTTCCGTCAAAGTATAATCAAGCATCGAGATTAGAATTTCCATTACGATTCTCGGCAATCGATGTCTAATTGAAATTCAGAAATTGTTCGTAATAAATATATTTCTATATATTATGCGTTGAATAGTTTTCATTACGAATGATCAATAAAATTCGGATCAAGTTAATTTATTAAATATTACAATAGAAATGAAAATTCTAGCAAGTTGTGCAAATGTTATCGTTATTTTTACCGAAGATCATAATTACAGAGTAACACACTGAAATTTTTGATTATTATTTTGGTATATATAATTTATTGCAACTGTCAATGTTTTATATTACAATTATTTTTCGTTAATTTCAAAACGTTTAAATCAACTCCTTTGCATAATTACACATATTTACACTCGGATTTATAAACCATTGGACATTTACATAATTTTTAACAAAATTCTTATCGAGCTAGATAAAATCTGCCTATAAAATCTTTAGAAAAACGATACAAATTACATTTTACTTATTACGATATGATAAAGCATTAAACGTTATCATCATAAATATTAAACAAATATTAAACAAATTACTACGATAGTACTATACCATTCTTACAATATAAATTGATAAATTGTTGTTCCATTTTCAAACGCAGACCTGTTCTCGCTTTGAAACCGTTATTCAGTTTTTCGGCAACTTATAAAACGAGAATGCATACGGATACATTATTATCGTTACAGATACAAAATATCACACTACCATCCGTTCGTTGTCTGTCAGAAAAAAAGAAACAGACTTTTCGAAAGTCCAAAACTCCTCCCTTAATAAAGGGAGCATGCATAGCGTTCTTAAATGGCATCGAAATGCGATGATAGAAGAAACACAAATGTTCACTATACGAATAAAAGATGCGAAAAAGAGGCCTGGTACAAGGTTCAGTGATCGTCGTGGCAGCATCCGCAGCAGCCTCTATTAGCATGACTTTTCCACCACTCACCCCTTCTTCCCTTTGTGATCAGAGCTTACTCCGGTCCAACGCGCTCAATTGTTTGCGAAACATCTTAAGTTGATCACTAACGCGTTCCAAGTATAAATAACTTTCAGACAAGAGACGTGTATCGAGAACACAACGGATGAGGAACACAACGGAACACGGCGCAGTCTCCACCCTCATTGAACTGTGGCCGGGCGCGTTAGTTCACAGGAGGGTTGCTAGCTCTGCTGGCCAGGGCCGTCTTGATCCATTTCGAACCCGAGTCCCGTTCCGTTGCTTGCCTGAACAAATTTTTTCTTACAATCCGATTAACATATCTAGTCTAATAACTTTACTTCTCCATCGCATCGAATTTTTCAAAAAGAAAATTTAATTCGAACGATTTAATATATAAAAAACCAGATCTTTTCTTTCACGGAATGAATTATGTTATATATAGTTGCCATGTTTCAAATGTTTCAAACTTTCAAATATGCAGATATACGTATGAAAGCGAGATCTAATCGTAATATAACCTTTATTATTTCATTCTCTCGTAATAACATCATCGAGAAGCTTATTTATAATAATTATCTGCTCTTATTTCATAGCCTAAAATGAAAAATTCTAATGAACGCTAGTTTCTTCCTGATAAACATATAAACATTCAATTGTAAAAATGTAACAAATTCGTTTTTCCTAGCAAGATATTATGTTCTTTTATATATCATAGATTATACGTACAATTCGTAAATTCGTATAATATACCGCTAAATGAATCTCATTTATTTTATGCGCTTAATATTATTTTATTCCATAATATTTTATAACGTTAATTATATCTGCACATAATTCTTCAAATTAATTAGAATTTACGTAATTACGTAAATCGCGTCTTTCGTTATAATTCATTCCTAATATTTTCTTCAATGCTATACCAATTATTAATCAACATATGTATTTAATTCGATTTGATTGAACGTCACGAGATTTTCAATGTATGCTTAACAATTTTTTTAAAACCTTTGGATTCAATAAACAACTGGTCCTTATGAATAAATTAGTAACAAACGATGTGCTGCTAAATATCATTTATAATCGATAACAATTCATTTATAATAAACAACATTATTTTTTCATGAAAGTTATTATAACATGTAAAATGAGTAATATTATGCTACAATATTTTTAACAAAATTGAGTAAGAAATATTTACCATGAGAAATAACGTGAAAGTCTTCATTTTTTTATATTACCTTCTGGTTTTAATATTTCCATTTAATAATATAAAATTTCTAGATAAAGTTTATATGAAAGTATCAAACAAACTATAGATCTAATAAAAAGACGCATAAAAATAAATTGTTATTCATTGTAAATGACGTAGAAAAAAATGATAAATCCACCTAAACGATTAAAATGACTGTGTTAAACTAATTACAAATTATTACTTATATTTTGTTTTCCAATTGGAAAATGATATTTACACGTATATATATAACACACCATCGATTTCAAATGTGTTCGAAATTATTATTATTTTTTCTTTAATTAATCATAATAATCGTATCAGACTGTTACTAATAAAATACGTTATTATGATATACTATTATTTAAATGTTATGATTTATTGAAAGGTTGAATCTGTTCCAAAAATTGTAACATTTCTAATATCTCGTAGCAACGTTTCAAGTTATCTTTCAACGAAAACTATGTTATTATTTAATTTACTAAAGCTATCTAAAAAATTAAATAAAAGAATAAACAAACGAAATTTCATTGTTCGTTTGCACGACTTGATGATAATATACACAGGCATGTCAATTTTTTCTCTTCTCCTTTTCTTTCTTTCTTTTTTCATAAACGACCGTTTAGAAATAGTTCTACTATTTCTACTGTGCTAAGTAGCATTGTATCACGTTACAATTGACCAAGATGTTGAAAACCCATCGTAGGCATACTATTTATTCATTTAATTAATTATAGTGTACGTGAATATTTTTATTACTTGTTTATAATTTATTAAATTTCTATAATGATGATTTTGTGGAAAAAATTTGTTATATTTTTTTGCAAGAGAGAAATATCGCAAATGAAATCCTTAATTGAAAGAAATTAAATCGTACCTATATAACTAATTAAATTACAGTTAATTTAATCGTAAAAATTTTCACAAAAAATTCATTACTTTTGGTGTTCTTAAATTTAAACAATCGTAATAAAAAGTCTCTTCTACTCTATCCAATATATTTATACTTTATGGCCGTGGAGTTGTTTAATTTTATAAAACAATTATTCGTTTCTTTTTTTTCAAGAATGACAGATGAGAAAACAATATTAATGTATCACTAATTTTGATTAATTTAGAATTAATCGTGTTAATTTATTTAATGAATTGCCTGTGTAGACTTCTGCAAAGTGCGACACTATCGAATGTCAATAGATTTTACAACTTAATATCGATCCAATTTACACATCTGATAGTAGCAGATATTCTGATATTGGATTTCATAGTAATAATATGATAATACATTGTAACTGAGCAAGCACTTTAATCTATTACAATAATAATATACAAATTAAGAAACTGTCATAAATATGGAATTTAGATTATTTAGAATATACAAAATATATAATTATCATATTTTAATATTTTAAAAAATTCTAGTATTTTTAGCTTTAGTATTTTTTATTCTTCGCTATAGTGATTAAATTATATAACATTATAATTCACACTAAATGAGATTGAATGTTTTCAAAAACATAGAAATAGGTATAAAGATGTTAATATGCAAACACCATAAAACCTAATAATCCTAATAAAAGTAAAATAATTTAAATAACTCGATTATTTCATATAAATTCTATTTATTTTTCCATGGTAATACAATATAACAATTCAAATATCGATGTGAAAATAAGAAAATTAGAATATGCTTTGTTATATAGGTAAAAACGAGAAAACATGATAAGTATTGAATCCATATCCATTTTAATTCTTCTAGAATACTAGGCTGATAATAAATTAAATGCTCTCTATAAATTAACTCTCCTTCGATGATTACCACATTTTCATTTAAATAACCTGCTTGTTGCGTTACATACTTATTACTTATTTTGGCTGCAACTAAAATAGATTTTTATAATTTTATCATATTTTTTAATTAGAAAAAAACATTGAAAAATACCACTAACATTTTCGATCAAAATTTTGTCTAAGTAATTCATCTATGGAATAATCAGCCAGTTCTATACTGTGATTATACATCTCGTATAGACCTTCGCTAGTAAGGAGACCCTTCTGCTGTAATATCAAATCTCCATAAAACTGTATTTTTTGTACCTCTTCATTTATTGTATGAGTAAAAATGGCAATAGATTCTATTGTTGCTTCAAATAATTGCTGTGACAAATTAACAATATCAGTACTTATAAGTAATAAAATTAAAATAGTATAATAATACAATTTTTACCTTTAGATGAAAATTAAAGAAAAGTAAAAGTTTAAGAGACTTTATAGGTTTATCCGTATAGAAATGAACCTCAAACTTTAAAATATCTTTTTTACCATCGATATTTGTATCTATTTCCCGAACCTAAAATCTTGAAAAATTAATACTTGTGCAAAATATATAAAACAATAACAGTTCACAGACATTAGTGTAATAATTCTTATTTATGTGTTTAAAATAACATAGAAATAGAACCTTTACTAATATACAGTTATCTTCAATTTCATTATTCTTATATGTTTTAAAAGTCGAACAAACTATAGGATTGATATTGTAATCCCTATTTGCTAATAATAAATATTTATAATTAAATGATACATCAGGTTCCTCCATGAGTATACAATTTTTCAACAAGAAACCTAAAAATTACAATGTAAAATAGTGAAACTCCATAATTATAATATTTCAAATAGTATACCATAATTTGAATATTATAAAATATACTAATATATCAATACATAAAAAATAAAATGTCAAAATGTATATACCTCCGGCATTATAAATAATTAAAAACGGTGTAACCAATGATAAAATTATGAGAAATAATACAATGAGAAAACTTAATGAACATATTTTAGTTTTATATTTATAATCAATGGGGCTTGAAAATATTTCGATAGCAGCCATTGTAACGCGTTGTCTTGGCAACAGTTAAAAAATAAATATGAGAAACCGCCATATAATACAGGATTCATAAAGATTCTTATAACATGCTATATAAATTTATATTTTCTCAATATAGTAATATACTTTATTATAAAAAATAGTTGTTGGAAACTCTATAATGAAATCATAAATCAAAATAACAAATGATAATGCCATTTGACATAACCGCATTCAAAATTGTTTAGTATAACATGAAATATATAAAATGTCTGATTTAAATCACTCTCCTTAAGCATCAAAGAAACTGTTAGCAAAAAATAACATAAAAAAAATGGAAAAATCTATGGAAAATATATAAAAATATGTAACAATTTTTAATTTTTAACAGCATATGTTTGTCTAAAAGTTTATAAACAAATAGTACGTAAGACTATGTGTATATGTAGTGTACATAATAATACATTAAGCATATGATGCCACTTAAAAAACACAAAATTAACTTTCGTCTCATTTTTAGCCTTTTACGTCTTCACCTGCAAAAAGCTACATTAAATTATGTCCCTTAAAATAATTCCACTTTTACATAAAATATTTTTTAATATCATAATCATATAAGGTTCATAATTAATTGAAAATACTAATTTAAATGGAACACCTAGTATACACAGATTATGATAAATTTCATAAAAAATACAAAAGATTGTTGCAATTGCTAATATCACTTTAAGCTATACAAAAGTACAACATGAATATGTTAATTATAAGTAACTGTATAAACGCTTGATATAAAAGTGGATAAGGAATGTTTAAAATATTCGGGGGACGCATACTTTAAATTGTTATACTGTAGGTTATGACGTAGTTATGTATATGACGGTTTCAATATTTTCTTAAAAGAAATAATGATTTAATTTATACTTAATATTAAAATAAATTTTTAAATATATTTCTATTTAAAAAGTGATTATGTTTCTTATATTGTAAACAATATATATTGTTATTCAATATACAGGGTGTCCAAAGTTTAAGGATGTGCTATCCCTGTTAGTATATTCCACGTTAACTTACTACAAAAAATATTAAACATAGATAAAAAAGGCAAAAAATATTAAACACTGATAATAATTTTAATACTAAATTCCTAGATACAACCAATATTTAATTTTTAAATAATTTTACAAAGGGCCAACACTGTAGTCTTCGGGGTCATTCAATTGTACGTTACTTTTATATCTAGAAAACTTTAAAAGAAAAAATATAATAATAAATGTACATGATAAATTGATCTAAAAAATTAATAATTTGATCGTTGAAATGAAATAAAATACAAATGAATTTCGTACAGTAATAAATTTTATTTTCAATTGTTAGTCCTTCATTATTAAGAACACAGGCCATTTTGAAATGATATGTTAGATTTTTACGCATTTTGTACTAAAATTATTGTCAGTCTTAATAGTATTAAGTAATAGCAATAATGGTAATAATTTAATACCGATAGTAAACATAATTCGTATAAAACTACACGTAAATATCGCTTCATTTTTTCTCTTTGAATTCCATATTTTTATTTATAACTTTCTAATAAAGCATTAAATAACCCATTTTTATATAACACTTTGTTTTTATTTAGACTTTAGATCATAGAATATACAAATTAAGTTTGATACTTTAAATCTGGAACTTCTTGCATAAAAATGACAGATGCAGAGAGAAATGTTTACTTAACATTTTTAAAAGATTTAAAAGGTATGTGATTAAATATATATAAATCATATACATTCATTATTCATTTTATTTTAAAATGATAATAAATCAAATTTTTTAATCTCAATAAACCTATTTTATAATATGCATATTTTATTAATTTTACATTATATTTCTTTAGTAAAGAAGAAAGAATATCATGAATTTGAAAAATCACTTAATGTATTACAAAATTATGCTGCTTTGAAAGGATTGGTGGATGATGATATTGACTTTCTAGCAAATGTTATTATGAATACAGGTTTAGGTTAATATACTTCAAATATTATAAAAAGTAAATAATCATTTTATCAGAAATATTAAGGAAAGAATATTTTTAATAGGTGCTACTAAATTGGTGCCTTTAGTAAAATGTTTAGTTCCAGTGTATAAAGTACCTGAACATACAGTTAAATCTATTCTTTCTTGGTGCTTATCATCTATAAATGAACTGCCTATTACTTTATCTACCGTCATTATACAATGGATAATTGGTAACGTATTTTTATTAAATAAAAATATAATGTAATGAAATAGATTGGAAAATATGTAGAATAAAAATTGAAATTATGTTTTCAGGTATATTAGATTACCAATTGATAGATGAAAAAGTTATAAATATATATTATAATGTTTTCTTTTACTGGATGTTAAAAAAAGAAAGATTGGTAAATATACCTTCTATATATTTTATATTGTATATTTATTAGCACTATATATTGTTATTTATACAACAACTTGAAATTATAATTAAGTATTTTATTATCATTATTATAGGAAAGACATATAGCACGTCTCATTCATGTATTGACAAAGCCAGAGGATATATCTCGCAGAAATGTAACTAGATTATTAGCTCTTCATAAGAAATATTCAAAACCTCAAAAACACATTATTGTTTTACTATCGTAAGTAATTATAGTTTCAATTGCTTTATTTAAAAAATTTGTTATTAATTTACATGGGATTTATTTTAGATTATTCAAATCTTATAAACCTGAATTAGTTCCTGAAAAAGTTCTATATATAAATACAAAAAGTGCATGGTCTCCAATACCTGAAATTTTACAAGTAATGCTTCAAGATGCTCAAACTCGTTTCGAGAATCAACAAGTACAGGACTCAAATTTAAATTCTTTTAACTGGGATAAATTTATGGTAAATATTTCATAATTATAAAATTCATCCGATATGAAATTCACATTTATTTCTTTTTTTTAATTTTCGTGGCTTATGAAGACAAAAAAGACAGAATCTTACAGTACAGTACCTTTAATACCATCTATAGGATATTTCCAAATTGGTTCTAGTATTTTTAAAGAAAAGAAAACAAAGCCTATTTTTGATGTTTCTAGGTAAATAATTAATTTTATTACTTCATATCATATAAAATTTATATCTTTTATATGGTAAAATATTTTAGTACAGAAGAATTGGGAAGGTTGCATTTAGACATAGAATTACCATGTAATGCTGTATCTCTTTTAGCTAATACAGCAGGATTTCATCTTCTGACATTTGCCGATTTCCAATATCAAAGTAGATTTTCTTATAATCTTTATAACACCTTAATAAGAGGTATATTTCAAATAATCTGTGTTAATCTGTGTTTCTTTTAAGAGGAAAACTTAACATTTATTTCATTTCAGCTTTTATGTTGGAAAATGAAAAATTTTCTGCGGAAGAAATTAATAAACTACTTGATATGACTATAGAGTTTTCACGATACATGCAACAAGACATACTTATTGTCAATCGGTTTCTTGATGAGTATCTGTATTATAATACAGGAGAATATCAATCAAAATTACTAACTTTGTTACAGTGGACAACTTCGATGTCTATTAACGGTATAATTTAAATAAAACATGTTTTCTAATAGTTAATTTTTTTCGAAAATATTTATATTTGTTTGGATAATTTTCATAGTATATTCTACATTACATAAGATATGATACTTCAAAAAATATTTTCTATGAAAATATTAGTTTTAGTATAGTATAGTATCAAAAATAAAATCGATAGCATTGTCAAATATAAACACATTTTTCTAATAGATAAATTTTTAATTTTACTTAAAAAAAAAGAATCTCTTTTTTTTAAAAAAAAAAGAGATAATTTAAAAGATAGGTATATTTTTTTGATCTTCTAAGTATCAATAGTCTCTTTTATTTTTCTATATTATATTATATTAACATGTACTATACAAATAAAATATATTTAGATTTGCAGGAAAAAATATTAGTGCATATCCAAAATATGTTCTATGAATCAAACTTAAGTACAAAGTGTGAAATTATCAAAATGTTGAAAATGTTGATCACAAATTTGGTATGTCAAACAAATTATTTTATTATCATATCTAACTCAGTTATATTTTATTTGATATAAAGAATATAATTGGATATAAATACTATTAGAAATAAAATATTTTTAAAAAATAGTATAAACATAAAAATACTATACTTATTGATAAAAAATCAATAGTTAAAATATCATTTTTTTGTAGTTTGTTAGTCAAGGATTTGAAGACTGTTGCCATAAAACACCTGCTCCATTTTTAGGACAAAATGCAATGAATAATTTTGAAGAAGCTATTCCCATTCTCACAAAGATTTCAGAGGACCTTATTACATCTGGTTTAAACATGTATTTGTATGATATTTTGTTTCTTTCAGAAGCATTATCGTTTTATGAAGAGGTAGGTAATGAATACAGTAATAATGAAATATTATTAATTTAATCTTTTAATTTAATCTGATTTAGATTTGTACATTGGAAAATCGGAGTGCTATATTATCCTTTACATTAGCACCCCCTGCAGTGATTTATGCATGTTTAATTACAAAACACTGTGCAATTTTATCAAGGATATGTAAATTATTATTAAGGTATTTGCTTTATAAATATTTTTGTATTTATAAATTATTTTTTTAATGTAAATCTTTGTTCATAGATATTATGACAGAAGTTCAAAATTAAAAAATCGTAAAACACGTAAGTTATTAAAGAAAGAAATTCACACTACACTTGTCTATGCTAAAGACATTGTGGCAGCATTATGGTATAATACGGTGTGTAAATACAATATTAATATTAGTTATAATAAAATTTATCATTAAATATTAACTTTACAAATTTTGCTATAATGTAATTTTCTAAATTGAAATTCAATTAGTTTATTATACTGAATAATTTTGAAAATATTTTTGATAACCTGATAACTATGAATCAAAACTTAAAATTTGGATAAACTAATAAAAAACTATTTCATTAAAATAAAATTAAATCAAGAGTTTATCAGTTAATTAATTATAATTGATGATATAAATATATTACATTCAAAATATTCTTTTATGTAAAATTTTCATTGTAGTTAAAAATGAAAAAGTTGTATATAACTGTATAAATACTAAAACACTTTGTTCAATTATCATAAATCAGATGAAATATAATCAAAATATAAATTTGCCTTAAAACAGTTAGTTTATGAGAAGTTTCTACTTTTCTCAAATCCTATATTCAACCATATTTTTTAATAAATGCATACTTTTCAGCACTCTAAGGAAAGCAGTAATGTCTTACAAAATATTTTAATGAATGTGATGACAAATTTAGAATATTGTAATACAGATCGTTTTTTGAATATTGATAATCATTATGCATTTTTACCTTACAAGTGCGTGCTCAACGAAACAGGACTAAATATCAGTACAAAAGAGGTAAATAATAAGAGTTATATTTATAATAAAATTTTGGAACTAATATTAGTAAATTCTAAATAATAAAAAATTGTCTTAATATCAATAAAATTTTTACAGGATACTATGAGCGTAGCCTTGTATTATTGTCCAATTATAAGTGAATTTCTTAATGTATTCAAAAATCAACGATAAATTTAGATATAAAAATATTTATATTACTTTTGAAGTTTATTTTTATGTGATAATGATATTCATAATACTCTTGTGATCTAATAAATGTTTCCAGCCATAAATTTTATATGATAATATAATACTATATTTTAATTTGTAAAATTTGTAACAGTTTAGTATATTTATAAAATAAATTGAGTTAAATTAATTGTTACTTTTTATTTCTCTGATTTACATAAAAATTTTCATTTACAGTTCATTTAACAGTCTTTAATACATATTTGCCTAATGAAAACTTACATATAAATTATCATGAAAGCCTTGGGCTCATACTTTATAAACTATAGAATTTTTTTTACATATTTTTCAATTTACCTTATCTCATGCATTAATATTTAGTGTACACATTGCAATAGATTGAAAATTACCTATGATTAAGTGAAAATAGTGGTTCAATAATATATCACACAGTAAATCTCTTTTGGAAACAGTGAGTGTGAACATCTCTTGAAATTTATAATGTCCTATTGATCATATTCTAAATGTACATTGCTTCAAGAAGAGGCCATCCTATTCATGCAACATTATTCTATGTACTAAATATACTTTATAGATATTATACTTAGAAACAATACACACATATATATACTTACATATATATACGTATGTATATATTGCTAATGTTATCGATAGTATATTAAAGAATTGATAGGGTAGGTTAGTACACAAATGATCTATAAAGCATAATAACAAGTCTGAAAAACTTTGTACAAAAGGGATGATTCAAATTAAAATCAGTGTTATATTTCTTTCTTACAAATTGGATTCCACAATATATATGAATAATATATTTTTTAATAAAAATTACTTACATAACTTAATAATTCAATCATAATATGCAATTAATGAACAAGGAAAATGTATAATACTAATAATTATTAAATAAATGACATATTTATGTAAATATTTGCATATATGTGAAATATTTAAATTGGACATTTAAATTAATTCCACTATTATTGATAATAAAAAAAAAAAAAAAAAAAAAACAAA